GTCAATTTACACTTTTTGTTCATTGCCAGTGCCACTACTTTGAGGGTGTGAAGTAAACAGAAAAGAGAAGAAGAAACTAAGCAGTTAAAAGTAAGAGAAACAAACTCTTGTAAAATCAGCAAAACATTATAGGCCCCTCAAGATAGTTCAGCAGAAAGTAAACACATTGCAGTAATAAGTACTAGCTTATAATGCGTGATGTGTAGAATTTTTAGGTGCTTGCTTTTTGTAAACCTTGAACCCACCTTCCTATTGCCAGTAGGTTACCGAAGCTGAATAGTACCGCAAACTTGACAGGTCTGTAGAAAACGATGAGCGACTGCAAAAGAAAGAAATGATCATTAGCAGATATTATATGGGAGGTTCAAGTTAAGAGCAATTGACTCTTGGTTTTGGAAGAAATTGCTGCACATTAGGGAATGGCTGATTGCTTCTTGTGGATATTTGGATGTTGTCCTTACAAAATTTCCTTGTCTGGTGAAAGGTGATAAGGTATATATGCCAAGCATTCTGCATGGTCTCTAATTTCAGTCCAAGCAGGAAGTTTTTTGGCATCACCTAGTGTGGAATAATGTATCCATTCCTCAGGATTGTATTGTGATGTGGCTTCTTATGCGGCTTGTTATGCAGGATATTTTAGCAACTGAAAGTAGTTTGGTCCATTTGCACATTCTGCAGGAAAGCAAGTGTATTTTATGCAATCAATCAGTTGAGTGCATTGAGCATTTGTTCTTCTTCTGCCCTTTCTCTGCTTTAGTTTGATATTGGTAGAGATCCTATGTGTTGGAGGGAAGAAGTCCAATGGTTCTGCTTGCGGGTGAAGGGAAAATCTATTAAGAAGCGGATCTTTAGATCTGCTCTCTCTGCTACTGTATACCATGTGTGAAGGGAGAGGATATGAGCGTTTCCAGTGTGTTGTTAAGAGTGTCAATGGTATTTTTAAGATGATTAATGTGGACGCGGTTGCTAGTTTGCTTAGTGTTAATGCTCCTCCTCAAGTGCAGTATTGGATTGAACACTGGCTATTGAGGAGGTGCTGTAGACCCCAGGGTATGCCCTTGTTTTGTTTTGTATCTTAAATGATAACTCGGTTAATGAAAATTTCTTTTACCAAAAAAAGATACCAAAAGCACCAATCAGAGTCTAATGATGACATATAGAGTTCTCTTATAATGGTAGTCATGTGCATTCTGTTACTGGATAATGCTGATCTAGAGTTAAACAATAACTACGAAAAGAAAAAAAAAGAAAAAAAATTAGACAAGCCTGTTTTTCTCAAATTTATGTAACATTCTTTCGATAACACGTGAAGCCTAACATCAAAAGTTTAGAGCTCATGGATTTTTCTAGCATATCAGAAAAACACTCATGAACCAGTAGCCATCAGACTTGTGCTCCATGCTCTTCAGTTTTTGGGACATGGGCTAAATCCACCGTTTGATTATTATTAATAATAGATCTCAGATTCCCAATAAGTTTGGAATTGGAATTCACCACATTTCTATCAAAAGGAGAAGATTGGAACTCAATCTCAAATAAATGAACCAACCAATCTAGCTTTATTAGTATGTTTTCTGAAGGTAATATGTACTCTCTTATTATTCCAATTACATCCAATAACATATATTAGCCGCAAGTTGGCAGACTGTACAATCTAAACCAAACAGCCTAAAGTGACTTACAATTTCGCAGTTCATATTTTATAAGAATTGGAAAAAGACCGAAGCTCCAATTCTTTTTAAGCTCCAAAGATGAGATGATAAGGCAGCAGGTGATCCCTCCCCTATGCACGCACATCTGCAGGCATGCATACACACACGTACATAGGAAAAGGGCGGGTACAAGGTGGTAGCTCATTTTGCCATGAAAATAGACTAGTGGTGTGGCCCACCCTGCTAGTCACATTGGAAGGTGTGGACACTACCACTTCTATGTCATCTTGATAGATCATTTTGCTAAATGAGGTGACAGCTCAAATCCAATATCCTCATGCATGCATGTAGAGGTTAAGGTTATAGGCCTAAATGTATTGCAAACATTACTGGCTTAAGAAAAGAAAAGGAAACAAAAGGAACATGAAACCTCATTTAATCCATGATTTCCACTTTTTGCCATGTATGTATTACAGTGTGGTGATACAGAACGCTTTAAAAGAGATCTCTCATGTAGCCCTCATCACCAACAAATTCAAATAATAGATATTGAATTTCTCAAAGAGAAAGACAAAAGTGAATTTTTTTCCAGAAGGGAAAAGAGGAAATGTTGAAACTAATGCATAAGAGCTGCAAAACACAGAATTAGAAGTGTTACTGATATCTTGCATACGGTCTTTGAATAAACAGAAAAGTGGAATGGCATAAACCGAAATAATGAAAAACACAGCCAAGCTCTTTTTCTTCAGAACAAAACTCAAGCACAGCTGTCCAAATCATCGGAACTGCCAAAAGACACTCTAGTTATATATTCACACTTCACTGTCCCTGGTAAATTAGTAATTCCCTACCCTACAAGATGGTAAAACCAGGAACATGCAAGCTCAACTACCATCTCACGTTGGACAATCATCACTGATTACTATATATACTTACCCTGGAATCCCACCTTCAATAAGTTGATCAACCTTCTCAGGTTTTAAGAAACAAAAAGAATGGCTGCTAGTCATGTATTGCCGGTGACAACATCTCTATGCCGCCTCTATCACGGAGATAATTACATAACAGAATATATGGATTCCACTTAAACAAACCATTGTACCAAGTAAATTTGTTGTTAATTCACAACCCATTTCCACTACTAATACTTATTTGATTTGTGTCTTTTGTGGATTCATGACCTGTAAGTCATTTTTCAAATTAGTACCTTAAGTACATACTCTTTTTCTAAGAAAATGGTAATTAACTCTCCAAAGTCCAAACAAATTCCAACAAATGCAAAACGAGAAAATTGAAGGAAGAAAGAAGATGGACAGTTTTTCAGGGTCTTGTTGAGTGGAAATTTTGAGGGGAAGGGAAGGAACCTCCCTTGTATTAAGAACTTTTCAACAATATGGTCTCATCTATTCTCATTACTATTTTTCCCATTGAAAGGATGTATAAAAAGTTGAGCGTATTTTTTTCTATGCTTTGATGATCACATTTGTTAACAATATAAGACTGTAAATACTAGTCCTATAATTTCTTATCAATGATAATCGACATTTCATTATTTACGCAGATTGTTGACAAGCATAAGAGAAAAAGAGGTCGTTGCAAGGAAAGACGACTAGCATGTAAAGATTGCAGAGTTCAGTCTTGAGATCCCGTGCATAGTCGACAGACATGCTAAATCGAGTGGAAAACTTGTGTTTAAAAAAATGGTTTCTGACATGACACCATACCATATTCCAAAGTATGGAAAATATTTTCAGGCCACAGAAATTATATTCTTAGGACAACTTTTCTGATATTTTTGTGATAACTACTTAACTCTAATTATATTCTTAGATATTTTTTTGATATTAGTGGTAATTATTTGACAGCATGAAAACACATGTGATACTGGTTTTCATTAATTTGTAAAATCTAAAAATATTTACAAAGGGTAGTTATAGGATTTTAAAGAAACGTTTTATAAAAAAATATTGAAAACAATGACATAAATTTGAAAAATATAAATGACAAGACAAATGTTGAATGAATGACACAAATTAAGCATATATAATAGGAATCATAAATAAAAAGGGTTGCATTAAATAACTTTTTCCATGTTTTTGTGTTATACACGAAATACCATTTCTGTATGGAAACTTAATTTTTATATATGTATATATCTCTAACTTGTAACTTCCCCCGGATAGTTTATTGTAACTTTTCAGTTAACTTAGATATAATTTTGTGTGGGTGGGCGGGTGATTGTCTGTGCACATTCATGCATGAGCAGCCTGCGCGCGTGCATGCGCATTGGCACCTGTGCCTGCATGTGTGCGTGGGGGGCCGTGCACGCATACACAGTGTGCGTGCGTGTATGCACAGTGTGCATGCATGCGCATGTGTACTTGCGCCTGCGTGTGTGCATGAGCACATGTGCACACGTGTGTGCATGTATGTATGTTCCGTGTTTTCTTTTTCTGAGACTTGTATTATGTGTTCATCTCGCATATTGTATCCTATTTCTATGTTCTGTATTGGCAAATATAGTTAATATAGATCTCAATGCTATAACTTTTTTTAGCCAACTCATACAATATGTACATTGATATATGTACTCAGAGTCACTTTTGCTACAAAACTATCTTATTTATGTACTCAGAGTTGCTTTTGTTATAAAACTATCTTCACTTGGTGGCATCGTAATTTGCAGGATGGGAACCGCAGCCAAATTTGTGTCATTGCATTTTCATGAAGAACCTAATTCAGTAAGAACAGGTTTAGACGTGCCACTTGTTCGCCCTCACTGCTTTGGACTTTTACTTACCGCACAAGAATTTGGTTAGGCAACACCTACAGTTCCAAAATATCATCAGTATGAGGTACAAATTAGTTTTTCCTTATGTTCCTTCTGAGCAATGAGATCCATTCTACCCATCCATTCATCCATCCATGTGACATGTTAAAATGTGAACCCAATAGATGGTGGCATGCTTAGTTTGAACTTCGCTTAAAACCAAACGCGACTTCCAAGTGCAAATCAAACTTGGAGCGGAATTTTTCAGGTTGATTCGATGAAGAAAACATACTAATAATGCTCACATGGGATTCAAGTTAGATTGCAATCTTCTCTTAACAGAATGCAGTTCAAAGGATGAACAAAGAGATGCATCTTCTTATTACAAGTGCACTCCTCCATCCAAAAATGTTCTATTCGAAACAAAGAACGGTCATATAGGTCACTAAAAATGTTTGCCTTCCCATCATGTTATAACATTCTCCTCCTGATGAAGCGTGCAATATGCAGCTAAGCACCTTTGCAAACTTTCTCCTCCTGTTAATGAAGCTTTAGACCACCAACTAGCTAATTGTGGAAATGTGAATGGACATGCTTCTACCTCAAAAACTTTGGTTGTCAATAAACCAAGGTATAGGGAAATTTGTTTGCAGCAGAAAATTAAACTTACTAAATACACTAAAAATAAAATAGTACCAAATGCGTACCAGTAGCATAAAAGCCAAGCCCGCAACCAAACACGCAGCACACCCATATAACCTCTGCATCAAATCACCATAAGGTGAAAACAGAAAAACCCCATTGAAGAAATTTGCAAAACAAAAGAAGCGCACATCAAAAATTTCTTGATTCTATCTTCTATAATGTTAATTGGTGAGATTAGGAGCATTGCCTGAACAGGAGACAGCGAGCATGAGCCACTGAATTCGCCTAGAAAATCCTCCTCTTGCTCTTCGTCCGCTCCGACAAGAGACTGGTGGAATCCCCTGATCTTGTCCATTTTCACTTCAGGACTTGAAAATTCTAAACAGGGATCATTGCTTCTCTCGTTTTGATTTTGATTGAAGGAGAGAGCAATGGAGCTTTGGTAACTTTTCTTCGCTTTCTCAATTCTTGCGGTCTGCTTACCCGCGGATAAGTGGAGTTGTTAACAGTCAGGACCTCAGGTTTAGGATGGTCACTGGGCCGAAATTGGAGTGGGCCGAAATTCCCGACTTGATGAAGCCGATCCAAACCAACCCTTTATAATCTGAAAAACCATTAATGCTTCACTAAATAGATAAAAAAAAACTAACGAAATTATTTCATATTTAACTCTTCCTACTCAAACCTGGTCGAGGTAAGACTCTCTCGTTTATAATCTGTGTTAATACATTTTCATAGAAGGTTGGTTGCCAATTGTACCAAACCAGAAGTCTTCGGTCTCGATGTTCGTTAGATAATCCAAGTTTACACCTTAGCATAATAGTCTAAACAATATCTCCGAACTAGTTTTCATGTTGACCTGATTCAATAAACATGAGATAACATAGAGGGCTAGTTGCCAATTGCACCAAACCAAAAGCCTTCGGCCTCGATGTCTATTAGATAATCAAAGTTCACACATTGGCATAACAGTCCAAACGAGATCTCCTAACTAGATTTCACGCTGACCTGATCGAATAAACACGAGATAACCATGGATGGACGTGTAAAATCTCCTAAGCAGATTTCACACTGGCCTGATTGAATAAACACGAGAAAATCATGAACGGCCATGTAAAAAAGAGAAAAAACAAGACAACCATAAAGGAAGACGTTCGTACAAATTTGTAGGGAGACAACAACTTTGGCTGGTCGTGCCTTCAAAGAGTTTGGAAAGGCTGACATGTCCAACCTTCAACAGCGAAGATGATGACACTACTATTTCTATCACCCCAGATTACAACTTAATTCGCATCAATTCATTAAAGCCATTATCTATCATGTATATGCGCCTCACTCTCTGAAGGAGAGATAGATAAGATGTATTTTCGTCATACCAAATACTTGTTTCCTCTGCTTTCATTTACTATTAGGGGAAGTAATCTTCAATATTGCGATACTGATTTTAGCTAGGCACGGGAGGAATGACTCTTAGGAAATAATCCATGAAGCTCATTGTTGGGCGCCGCGGAAGCCCGAATCGACAAGATCAAAAGTACACACACGAATAATAGTAGACCACAAACGAACACAAGCAAACCAATCTCAGCAAGAACACAAGATATACGTGGTTCGGCAATGTGCCTACGTCCACGGGGTAAGGAGAGGGGAGTTTCACTAATAGAAATCAAGAGGAATACAAATTAGGGTTACAAATCTTACCACAAACCCTCAAATAAGACCACTTGATCTCTCCAATAGACTCCAACAATAGAAGCCCTAGAAATCCCCTTTCAACAGCTTAAAATCTCCCTTGCATAACCCTAAAACCGAGTTTAGGGTATATATACAACTCACCAGAAAACGGGTCTGGAAAACCAACTAAAACCCAAAACCCGATACGTGGTCGACCGCCGCGCCACGAGCGGTCACTAGGAAAACAGTCTAGCCACAGCGCGGTCGACCGCCGCGCCACGCGCGGTCGACCGCCGAAACTGCAGAAGCTCCCCTTGATTTCTCGTGCACATCGCGGTCGACCGCCGCGCCATGGGCGGTCGGCCGCGTGTCAGCATTCCTGTTTCCTTCGATCCGACGCCAACTCTACACTCATCTCCCCTTATTTTCTGGTGTGCAAATTTGAATGAATGATGTTGGTTATGGGTGTATAAAGTTCACTCATTTTTGTATAAAACACGTGGACAACCCCCTAACAGTGGCGCAATGGAAAAAAGTGCAAAACATAACTCATTAAAACTAAGTTTGGTTTGTTTGGTTTTTACGAAATAGCATTTCTAAAACGTAAAGAAAATGAGTGTTCTTATAAAAACTCAATCTCTGTTGCTTTGGGTGGAAAAGGGGCAAGAAACTTGACACACGGCGATATTTCTCCATTAAAAGATATACCTCACTTTTCTACTTTTTGTGAAATAATGCTTTCTTAAAATGTTCTATTCATTTTGTACCTTTGACCAAACTTAAGAAAATAAATTTTTTATATAAATACACCATACTTGTAAACTATGAAAAAACACGGAAATCATTTAAAAATGGTTCTCAACACTAATTTCCAATTCTTTCTTTTTTATAAGGAAACGAACCAACCATCCCTTGTTCGATTTCCTAAACCACAAATCTCATCGATAATCCACCAATCATATTTCTAGTGAATGATTAGTATTTGACCACGAGAGCTTAATATCATATTTCTAGTCAATGATTAGTATTTGACTAGCTTAATATCATATTTCTAATCAATGATTAGTATTTGACCATGAGAGCTTACTATATAAATATGTTTTTATTTGCCATCTTTTTATTTTTATTTTTTGTCAGTTCTATAAAAACTCATGGACTTACATAAGGAGTCAAGGGGGGAAAATATGGATATTACAAAAAAGAAAACCTCGTATAGAGGAATTATCTTCATAAATCTAGTGGTTCTCTTATCCTTACCAATCAAGAAAGTCTCTGCTATTGCCGACGTGAAGCTACAAAACCCACTTCTTTCCACAAAGGGAAGAGAGTTTACCTGTTTGAATACATCCTACCTAAGCTTTTTAAGGCATATTTGGGTTTCATTGAGGGTAGAAGAAGTTAAGGGAAAATAAAAAGAGAAGGACAAATTTTTAAAAAAGTCTTTTTTAAAAAAATTTAATAAGCAAAAACGACCATTTAGATTTTTAATGAGCAAAACCGACCCTTTCAGGAGAAAATAGTCGGTTTTGCATCATCCGAACTGTACGGGACAAGTAGTCCCGTACAGTTTGTTTTAATCCCCCCCTCTCTCCTCCGTTCTCATCCTCCCCCTCTCTCTCCCGTGACCTCTTAATTTCCCAACCCCCCTCTCTCTCCTCCGTTCTCATCCTCCCCCCATT